TTTAACATTCTCTTTAGAAATTTTGAGCAGTTTCACGATCCCTCTTTTTATTTTCTTAAAGGCAAAAAGTCCATACTACAAGCATCTGGTTTGGTCACTATCAAAGGTATTTTCTGATTTCAGACAACTTGGATCTAGCTCTTCACTGCTTCCACTTTTTTCTTAAGTTCGGATTTCCATTATGATTGAAAGGGGATGTCTGTAGTAATTGTAAACTGCTAATCTTTGCTGCTCTGCCTACACTCAGCCAAAGGCTTTAGGGCTGTCAGCCAGCACAGCCAGCATCTGAGTACCGCTGGAGTGTCCTCACATGTTCCATGTTTGTACAAGTCACATCTACAATGTGCTGGGTGACCACAGAGGCGCATTCTTTTCTTTTACTTCATTACTCTTATTTATTTTTTAAATATTTTTATTAGTATGTATCAATTATATACAATAATGGGTTTCATTATGACTTTTTTTTTTTCAAGACAGGGTTTCTCTGTGTAGCCCTGACTATCCTGGAACTTTCTCTGTAGACCAGGCTGGCCTCCAACTTTAGAGATCTGCCTGCCTCTGCTTTTGCCTCCCAAGGCTGGGATTAAAACCTTGTACCACCACCATCCGGCTCATTACATTTTCATACACATACACAAATACAATTTTTACCTCATTTCCCTCTTGTCCCCATCTCATTTTCTCTGATACCCATCCTCCTCCCAGCTAGTGTGTGTATGTGTGTCCGTCCGCCTGTCCGTGTGTTCCTGTCCCCACTTTACCATCTGTCATAGTGAGTTTCATTGGGGTTGCTTACTAGGGTATGGGTGAGGGGTTATTTAGAGGATTGTGGGACTCTTCTAGAAGCTTATTACTATTTTCTGCTTTGCAGAATGAATTGTGCTTATGGCACTGGGTTGTTTATAATGAGACAGGAAACATGATGAAAGATTATTTAAAATTTTTTAATGAATTGTCTCTGAGTGAGCAAAGGAGACCCTTCTAATACTAGAGAATTTTAGTTTTTCCTACACTGAATCTGTTCCCTCAATTTTTATTAAGAGTTTGATATGACGATTTTAAAGGCCCACATCCCTGCCTCTTAACTTTCTTTTTTCTTTCTTCAAACAATGTTACTAATAATAATGTTAGTGACTCTGTTTGGTGGCATCTTAGCTAAATGTTACTTTTAAGTTTTTTGTTTTAAAAGTGTTGAGATGTAAATGAAACCCCATAGCTTAGACTCAGTAGTCAATAGCTAGCTCTCTCAGTTGTGACTCATTCAATCCGAGTTGGAACCAACCACTAGTGAGTCTGTGTCTGTGCATATCTACGTGTGTAAGATGAATTTACTACTAAATTTTTACTGTACAGAGTGGCTGTAATGCTGATTTTTAAATTTGATTTTTGATATGTTCATACATATGTACACTGTATTATGAAATCGTGGTTTTCTTCAAGTGTGTGGGTCCTTGAGATCTATGAGAATATGGCTGGAACAGAGTTGTGACACGTTGTAAAGCTTCTATTTTGGCAATTATGTCGTAGTTTAATCATTACCTTTATGTTATTTTTAAAGGACTTTAAAGGACAATCCAAGTGCTATATGATTTTTACCTAAAATTTCAATGTGTGTCTATAAAATGCAAAATTTTAAAATAATATTCTTAATTCTTTGAGTAGAGATGGGTCTTGAGGATTCTTCCTTGATCCATGGTAGAATTTTGGCTGACTTGATCTTATGAAACTGATACAGTGAACAACCAGGTCATATCCAGAAGTCAACATGATACAGCTCTCCTCCTGTCTGCTAGCTCTTACATTCTTTCCACCCCTCTTCTATGATATTTCCTGAGCCTTGGGTGTTGGCAAGCTAACAAAGATGACACATCCATAGAGTCACTCAAACTATGCACCTCGATCACTTATGGGTCTTACATAACAATTGTCTCTGACCAAATATGAGAGCAACACAAATCCATGGGTATAAACATTTAGAAGACAGCGTGACAGTGTGACCATTTAGCAAAGCAAAAACAGTAGGCTTCCCCAAGGCCTTTGATCCCTTTGGTAATGTACTTTCGAGCAGGTTTACAGTACCAGGTATGAAATTCCTCCTGTGGAGCTGGGCGCCTAGCCAACCAGAAAGTTGGTTACTCTCTTAACCATCATGCCACTGCTGATATGAGCATATCTTGCCAACAGTTCAGTATTGTATTGTCAGGGTTCCACACTAGGTGAGGGCAGTGATGTTTCTTTCTGCCACCAACTGCATAGCACCTCTCTCACTCTGTAGGCCAGCCATTCAGGAGTTTACTGCTCAGTTCGAGGTTGATTTCTCTGTGTCCTGCACCCAAAGCAAGTGATGTTTTCAGCAAAAGGCTCTTACCACCGAAAGACAGAGAAATAGAGATATCATCACTAACCCATTTTTTAATTTTGTTTGTATGTTTATGTGTGGGCACAGGTGGCATAGTGAGTATGTGGAAGTCAGAAGGCAGCTTGCAGGAGTCAGTTTTCTCCTTCTTCCATATAAGTCCTATGGATTGAACTCAGATCAAAAAGGCTTCATGACAAACCCGTTTATGCGTGAGCCATCCCAGCAACCCAAATTAGTAACCTTTTAAGGCTCTTTTTAACTTGAGTTTTAGGGTCACTATTTAAGACACTATGTCCTCTTAGTAATTTTCCTGCCTTATTGGCAAGGTGGTAAGCATTTCATTTGTACCTAATCCTATGTCTTGTTTTATAAGAAAAATAGTCTCATTTATAGCAAGTTGCTGGGCAGTCACCTCGGTTCAGGATTGTGTTGGCTTTTGTAGTCATATTATCCCGCGATGGCTCTTGTTAGTGCTGTGCTACCGTGAAGGGGGAAATATTTTTCAGCTGCAGCGTTAGGACATTGGAATAACAATGAGAGGGAAATTTTGTTGTTGCATCTTCCTATTGGTGAATGACCTGTTCTTGTTCTTAGATGTATTTTGACAAAACAAAATTTACCTTATATTCTGGCACATATCGTGATAATTATGGTAAGAACTGAATTGTCATTAACCTATGGTCTGATAGACTGTGACAAACCTCCCAAGGCAGCAAATGCAAGAATTCCCAAGCAAGAAAGAGTCTTAAGTGATATGGCCATCATATGAGCAGATACGTAATTATATGTGCTTCAAATGATTTTTTTTTTTATGTACATTGGTGGTTTTGCTCTTCTGGAACTGGAGTTACAGACAGTTATGTGAGCTGCCATGTGGGTACTGGGAATTCAACCTGGGTCTTCTGGAAGAGCAGTCTGTGCTCTTCACTGCTGAGCCATCTCCTCAGCTCTTCAGGTTAATTCTTGATTAATGCCTTACCCTTTTCCTACTTTTTTTATGTGCACAGGTGCTTTGCCTGCATCTATATCTGTGCACCATGTGCATGCAGTACCCGGAGAAGCCAGAAGAAGGCCTTAGATCCCCTAGGACTGGGGTTATGAATGGTTCTGAGATGCTGTATCAGTGCTGAGAATTGAACCTGGGTCCTCTGGAAGGGCAGCCAGTGCTTTTCAACGCTGAACTGTCTTTGTAGCCCCAAATGCCTTACTTTTATACATTGATAAATTCCTCCAGAGATTCTGATGCAATAGCTGTCTAATTCTAGGTGTTCCTCAAGAGAAAGCTGTGATTGTAGCCTTTATCTTCACTGGTGTTTTTTATATTTTCAGTGTGCCAATTATAATTGGAAAAATTTATCAATGTATCTAAGTGTTTGGGGCCTTGGTAATACCCTGAACTTGCAAAGGAATAATGTAGAGTCAGTGACTATGTGACAGTGTATAAATACCTGGGAATGCTTGGAAGAAACCTGCCCTTCTAGCCACCTTGATAACAGTGTCAAGACAGTGTGCCACCTCCTTTGAGGGTGAGGCATGCATGGTCCTTTTAACTTTTGTCTCATAGTCCATAGCCTTTGACAAGTATGTTTTTTGCTAGAAATAGGAAAACTAAGCCCGGAAGAAGATTGTGCAGGCTTCTCTTATTTTCAGTAAATAGAGCAGATGGCTGTGTGATTAGTTGTTTTTTTGAACAACAAAGGAAAAACAAAAGCATTCCCACTCCACTCCCTAGCTCTGGCTTATGGGAGCTTCTTGGCACTTCTTACAGGCCTTTTGGAGAGCACAACTTGATCTTGAGGCTTTTATCTTGGCAGTGGAAGCGCCAGGATTTTCATCTCCATTGCTGTTTTATCAGAACTTTCTAGAAGAAACAGACTTGCCTTTTGGCTGCTCTGTCTGGGTCTTTGTTCTCTTCACTGTTCCTTCTGTGAGCATGAGGCTCTCTCCAACTTCCTGCCCTTCTGCTTTCTAATGGGAAGTAGGGTCTCAGAGTGCTTCAGAGCACAAATCCTGGAGCAAAACTTGGGTGTGAATCTTCATTCTGCTACTTAACCTCCCTCCAAAGGGCTATTGATGACCCAAGAATTAATACAAAATACTTAGAGTATGGCTTTTTTTTCTAGTAGGCACTATGTCTACAGTATCTTGCTTCTGAATTACATTAACAGCCACATGGTTGTATATCATTTTTGAGACTGTAAAGGGTGTACTAGGTAAGACACAGAGGAATTATTGAACACCAATAACATAACTCACCCTCGCTATCTGGTTGAATAAGCTGGTGATAATACAGGATAAATATTAATAACAGGATGGTGAGGCAGGAGATGCTGCCATTTGGTTTAGTAGGCACCAAGGCAAACAGTGGATTTGGGAGATTAGAGGTAGAATTGCTTCCTGTCATCACAAAGTCCTCATTCAGTAGCATGGAACTTGAGGCGGACTGTAGAGGAAAGGTGGTTGGACATTTGGGGACATGGGTATTCAGAAGGGTGTGAGTGCAGGTGCAAGGTCCAGGGTGGAAACATGTGGAGAGTTTAGGTAGTCATGGATGACCGCCTCTAACAAAATGGACCCTTTCCCACTAAGTGAAGAGTGTTCATGTTGTTGAGACTAACATGGTTTTTCTTTTCATCCATAGAAAGGCCCCACTTCTGGGAAAGACCGTGTGAAGAAAGGTGGATCCTACATGTGCCATAAGGTCAGTCATGCTACTAAACTGTTGCATGTTCTTGTGGGTCACACATTCATTATATCTTACTGCCCCCAAACATTTCATTCATTTTTGCCAGTATAAACCTCTTCCCATCCAAATGAGAAAAAAAAAAACATGGGAGTCTTCAATTTATGAACAGACATGGGAGAAGTAACAGGAGAAATGGAGCTTGTGAATCGCATTCTATCAACCAGATAGTCTGCTGACTTGTGCCTGGTGAGAGGCTTCTGTTGGTCTGTGAAAGAGGGTGGATCATCTACCTCTTCCCATGTTTAAGTCTAGGACCACACCCATAATTTCGGATGTCTGTAAATTCCTGAATTCTTTGTTGAGATTCAAGCTAAAGTTATAAATGGAGGTTGGTTTGTGGTCTACCAAAATGGAAGCACCCAAGTGTGTTGGGTGTTAATATGTGCATTTTTGTTCCATGAGCTATGATTTCAGTTTCCAAAATGGCAGTTCTGGGTTAGTCTGTGTGATCGGTGCCTCACGAGCAACTTTTAGAAGGAATTTGAAAATAGAATCCGACCCCTTCCTCTTTCCTCTTTGAGTCATGTGTTTTCAGTGCCTTGAGCACTCAGGTTCTGTCTTCTGTCTGTGTATAAAGAAGCATTTTGCAGTTTGTTACTACCAAGGAACTTTGCTTGGTAGTTGACTCAGTTCTGGAGACTTAAAGCCATCTATAGTGACTTCTAATTAAGTTACTAATTTTGTAATAGACACATTATCATACTTTGTCCACATCCATCAGGATCTTTAAAACTCTGGAGGTGTGTAGTAATGAGACGAGCAGGCCTGCTTTTTGTCTTGTCCGGCTAGCTTTTTACCCAAAATAACAACATGCAAGTTGTATTCTTTTAAACGCTGCCTGGCCCATTAATTCCAGCCTCTTAATGGCTAATTCTCACATCTTGATTAACCCATTTCTAATGATCTGTGTAGCACCATGAGGTAGTGGCTTACCGGGAAAGATTCAGCATGTCTGACCTGGTGGCTAGATCCATGGCGTCTGACCAACTATGCTTTCTTTCTCCCAGCATTCTGTTCTGTCTACTCCACCCACCTAAGGGCTGGCCTATCAAATGGCCAAGGCAGTTTATTTATTAACCAATGAAATCAACACAAAACAGAAGACCCCACCTCCACATCAGAGGTGTTGAAAACATACGGCAAAGTTTGATAATGGCCTCAAGAAACTAGATGGTATATGTGAGTGAGTTTGTAGGTATGTGTTCCATTCATGGTTCTTATGTTCCATATGATTCAGGTGGGAAGTTCATCCAGTTCAGCTCAATTCTTGCTTCATACCTACATTAAACTGAGTATAGTGGCATATACCTTTAATTTCATTTTTTAAGAGGCAGTGTGGATGTCTGTGCGTTCAAGGTCAGCCAGGGCTACACAGTGAGAGCCTGTCTTCAAAAGCTGAAGCCAAAAATGAACAACAAATCTACATTAATAATAAGATGTGGGTGAATTTAACTTTATGCAATCATAATTGAATAATTAATTAATTGAATTTTTGAGTCAGGGTCTTGGTATGCTGGCCATACAGTCTCTAACTCCTGAAGTAAAACATTTTTTTTCTGCCTCAACTTCCCAATAAATGGGACTATGGATATGTTCTACTGTGCTCGGCTCATATTTCATTCTGTTTGTTTTGGTTTTTTTTTTTTTTTTTTTTGAGACAGGGTCTCACTGTGTCACTCTAGTTGGCCAGGAACTTACTATGTAAATCAGACTCTCCTTGAACTCACACAGATTCTGCCTGCCTCTGCCTTCCAAGTACTGGGATTAAAGGCATGTACCACCATGCCCAGCCTTGATCATAGGCAATAAATAACTTTCTGAAATTAAGTATTATACTACTATGGTTGTTATTAATATTTCATATCAGATTGAGAATATTTGCAGATTTTTTTTTCAAGACATGGTTTCTCTGTGCAACCTTGGCTGTCCTGGAAATCACTCTGTTGACTAGGCTGCCTCGAACTTAGAGATCTGCCTACCTCTGCTTCCCAAGTGCTGGGATTAAAGGTGTGCGTCACCACTGTCAAGTTTATTTGTAGTTTTTACTCATCAATGAATATAGATTTTGCTAAATGATGATTTTCTTGTCTTTTCAGTCAGTTAGTACAGTATAATACAATGAAGCACAATAATTGATTATCATTTTTTTTCTTGTTTTTTTGAGTCAGTGTCTCACTATGTAGCCAAGTTGACTTTGGACTGACTATGGGACCCAGAATCTCACATTAGCAACTAACCATGTCCAGCTTGATTTTCATTTATTAAACCATCATTGCTTTCCTGGTGCAATATTCCTCTTAGTCATGATGTATTAGTCTTTTTATGTAGTTTGAATTCAGTTATTTTAAATGTTGAGAACTTTTGCATATAATTAATGATGAGTAGATCCTTATTTATTGTTCCTAGTAATCTTTGTGTGGTTTTGGTATATTGGTATGTAATTGGAAAATATTGTCAGATCTTCAATCTTTTATCCTCATTTTTAAGAAGAGGTCTTATAAAACTAAGATTATTTCTTTCTGAATTGCTTGGTGGAGTTCCTTATTAAAGAAATTTGGACCTAAGCTTAGGCATTTAGCCTTACCCCTCCCTATTACTGTAATGAAAATACAAGGCAGACTACATTTTTAAGGAAAAGAGGCTTATTTTAGTTTATATTTTTAGGGATCCAAGCTGAGGAGCATTAAATAGTGATTATATTCTTGCTGGCAGTACCAGAGTTGGTCCAAGGCGTCATATGGGAAGTGACAAAGGGTGTTTCTGAGTGGTGTGTGTGTGTGTGTGTGTGTGCATGCATATGTATACATTCATTATGATCACTCTCCCTCTTCCAATGAATAAGATTAATAGAATAGTGACTCTATGTTGGAGAGGGGAGCCACTTGTTGATTCCCAGCCGCCCGGCTAGCTTAGACCCAAAATAATCATACAGAAACTGTATTAATTAAATCACTGCTTGGCCCATTAGCTCTAGCTTCTTATTGACTAATTCTTACATATTAATTTAACTCATTTCTATTAATCTGTGTATCGCCATGTGACAGTGATTTACTGGGTAAAGTTCCCAGCGTCTGTCTCTGGCGACTCCATCCCTTCTCTCTGACTTCGCCCTTCTTTCTTCCAGCATCTAGCCTAACTCCCCACCCCCAGTTCTGTTCTTCCCTGCCATAGGCTCAAAGCAGTTCTTTATTCATTAACCAATAAAAGCAACACATATACAGAAGGATCTGCTACACCAACTCTACCTAAATGACTTTACCTTACCCTAATTAGCTCCCCAAAAGGCCTTACCTCTAAACAACATAAAGGTATGTCTCTACCCCCTTGAAAGCCTTAGGGGATGCACTCAAACCATATCTAAATTATAACAAAGTATAATTGTAAATTTAGTTATTTAATAAATAATTATTTGTAGATCATTTCATCATTTATGCCCCAGCAATGTTTAAGCATGCATGGGCAGCCTGTTTATGGTGGTTCTCCAGTTGTTCCTATCCTGGACAGTCCTAGATGCTTGTGTTATTGTCATACCCAGAGAAAAATCATAAGAATACTAGAAAATGCCTATAAAGAAAACTTTGCATCAGTCAAAGTCTGTGGAGAACCAAGTGATCAGTTTAAGAAAATTGTAGGAGTGTTGCAAGGATGCATCCTCTCACCATTACTCTTTAATATATTCCTAGAATTAATAATATCGACAGCTTTGGAGGATGAGGATAAGCACGCAGATAGGTGGTGTGCGAATTAATAACTTGTGTTTTGCCAACAATATAGCACTACTTGCTGAAAGTCCAAATGAGCTGCAGGCCATGGTAAACAGAGTGGTGGAAGTCAGTGAAAACCTTGGTATGAAAATAAATTTCTACTTAAATATGCTCTGATAATTCTGTCTTTCAAGGAATCAAATCTTTCATATGAATTTTTAAATTTATTATTTCAATCTTTGCATTTTCATTAATTATATAAGCCAATTATATTTAATGCAATTATTGATATTATTGGGTTTGAATTTTTTTGAGATTTTGTGTTTTTTTTTCTTTGCCTTATCTGTTCTTTGTTCCTTTTTAATCTTTGTCTTTTTTGGATTAAATTATTTAAATCACTTTATTTTCTCTTCTTAGGCTTATTATCTATACCCTTACTTTAAAATGAATGCTTGATTTAGAATTAAGTTAATAACTAACTTTTTCTAATCAGCCTGTGGAATATGTCTTGAGTTGTTTGGGCTCAGAGTGATAAACTATTACAAAAGAGAATAATAGAACGACAAAACTGAATGAATTTAGATTTTTTTCCAGAACAAAGCAACAGTCTCAGAAATAAATAAAAAGAAAGAATATTAGAATTAATTCTTAAAACGTTTTATTTCTATTTTGTACATATGCGTATTTTGTCTGCATATATGTCTGTGAGTGACTTGTGTGTTGAGTGCCCTCAGAGTTACAGATAGATGAGCCATTATGTTCTGAGAATTGAGCCCTGGTCTTCTGGAACAGCAACCAGTACCCTTAACCACTAAATCATCTCTCCAGCTCTATAGTTAATTTTAAAAATTACTTTGACTAGAAGATAGTATATACTTATATACTAGAAGATAGTATACTATTGGTTATAAACTAAAGCCACTTTGCATGTCTAAAGTAAACTCCTGTAATGTCTATTTTAAAAGAGTTATTTTATTTTACTAATTAAAAAAAAAACCTTTGTGTGTGTATATTGTGCCAGCATTTATGTCTGTATCCCACTTAAATTCTTGCTACACATGGCAGCCAGAAGAGGACATTGGATCCCCTAGGACTGGAATTACTGATAATTGTGAGTCACCATGTGAATTCTAGGAATCAAACCTTGGTCCTCTGGAAAACCAATAAGTGCTCTTAACCACTGAGCCATTTCTCCAGGACCATCAGTCCTAGTTTTTTAACAGTCTGCCTAAGCTTCTGGAAGGAGATGTA